GCCCACTGTAAACATCCGGTTTCTAGGAATGATCATCGACACAGAGGCACAGGCGTTTTTGATCCCACAAGATAAGAGAGTTAAATTTGCTGAGTTAAGAGAAGCAATCTTATCTTGCAAAGTTTCGACATCTCTCAAGGCTATACAGAGAATCATGGGAAAATGTTCATCATTTTCCCTAGCTTTTCCCGGAGCAAAGTTTTACATACGGGAAATGGCAGGAGAGGAGCGTCCCTCCCACCCACCCCTCCTAGCCTGTTTGTTCATAGTATTATCCCTGCGACTTGCTCGTCAGGGGCGACTCTCCATATCTTAATCAATGCTAATGAACAAGCAGGATGGATTATGTACTATTACAAATTCCCCACCCCACCCCCCAACCCCCATTAGCGGATAATTGAGCAATGCCCTTACTTCGCATAAAAATCCCATTGGCTGCATTTTATCTATCTTGCCAAGTGATGATAGCAACGTATACACATAATCGGTAATAATATGACAAGGTGCATTGCCATCCGATCACTTTCTTTCTGACTGTCTATCGTAAAGAAACTCAACTTGTTTGTCTGCGTATTAACTCAACAGTGCCCGCAAGCCATCATGACCAAGTTCGATCCCACTTTTGCCAAAGAAAGGGTGCAGTCTTGGATGGAAGAGCTTGAATTTAGTCCAGAAACAATACAAAGGATTTCAGGTAWTTTTTTTTATCTATTACTACGTGAAAATATTCGTGAATCKAACACTGACAGCGATTCTCTTATTTTAAGGTTACTGTGGCYCTTGCGGCGTCTGTTCGTTGAAAAATCATTGGYGCGTTGTATTTCGCGCTTTTATACAGTATTATATGTCATATGAAAGCTAAATTATCAGAGAATATGTCTATGTAATTTTTATGATAATAGTTCTTATTCAGAACGCGTTTTAACGCTCTGAACTAAACAAGGGTACCCTTGTTTGCAAGAGTTCAGTGTCAACACGTTTGGCCGAATAGTCGAAAGTACTGTACAATATAAATCAACACATACCCATCTGTCAAATCGTGTGAGCGATTTTTAATATTTTACTTAGTTTAGAAATAAATCACAGTTGAATCGAAGAATGCATTTTTTTTGGTGTAATTTGATATAAACCTTTRTAAAACAAAAACCAAGACGTAATTTGAGAAACGCTCACACGATTTTGCTATTCATGAGTTGCATGTGCTTCTGCTCAATTTTCATAACATTTTATCGTAATCGCGAGGAACTGGACTCTTTTAAACTTCGCTACCCCGCGAAAAACACGAAACGAGAAATCAAGCAATGAAGTTGTGTAAACATAGAACATCATCTGTCATCGCGGTCAAGAAAGGTCAACCGACTGATTAGAAACGCGGCTCACCTGGTAAGCGGCAGATCTAGTGATTTTCGCGGCAGTTCTGAGTTCGCGGCTGAGTTCGCAGCAGATCTAAGTATGCCTAAAAGAAAGATCGGAAAAGCCAAAGAGACAAAAGCGAAGAAGGCAAACCAGAACAAGCCAGACGTGGCCTCCGGCGTGTACCATAAGGCGGCAATGCTCGAGGCTATGCGCTTGATTGGGTAGGTTTCTAAACTATAATTCTGTTGTTCAAATTGCACTACTGCACGTTCTTATAAAGTGTAGCATTGGTTTATTGTTTTCACTCTATTTTAGTGCACTGTTTAGAACGTTCTGATCATGTAATAATAAAAATATATATGTATAAAATAAAAAAGGCTACTCAACTAATAACATGTTTTGCTAAATCTTATAGGGTGCTTTTCCAGTACCATTAGAGGATTTTTGTCAAGCAATGGAGCTACCCACATGTCCATAGAGTTCAAATATAATAAGYTCAGCACATATTTACACATAGTAAAAACAAACTATATTCAATACACTGTTTTAGTTTTAGTAATGTTTTCAAACATCCATTACATATATTATTTGTTTCAATGATGAATACAATCATTACGAGAAGTTCATAAATAATTAAAAAAATAAGGTGTATATATTATCATTAAAATTATTAAACATACGCATCATTAAATGTTTCAATGTACATGTATAAGCCATTATAGAACTGAAATTATATACATAATAAACTCTATGAATATGAAGTCCAAAATTGACTAAAATAGTCATCATTCAAGCTATCTTTCMAGCTATGAGCTCGTATAGAACTGCTGCGACTTATAATGAACACCTTCAACATGAACAACAGCGTCATTCTTGTTTGCCTTTTCTCTTTTTCTTCTTTTTCTAGCATTCTTGACTTTGCATTCTTTGACCTCTTTGCTTTATAGTCACAACCCTTGATTCTATCTTYGTCCATTCTTCCCCAAGCAGCTTTCATGGAATCAGTTACTGTAATATTTAGTTTAGTCATCAATTTGGTTAAAGTTTCTTTCAGTCCACTATTGAAAATCATTATTCCAAGAAAAACAGCAAGTTGCTGTGAAGTAAACTGCTCTTTGGGTGCCAAACTCCAAATGATATGGTGCAAACTTTCATTTGGATTCTGTGTCAGGCACTTTTCACAGCCAACCAGGAAATGTTTGTCTCCCAGGCGATCAAAAACTGGCTGAACAGCCTTGACAACAGCTGGTGGCAGAGGATTTTTAATGGGAACATGTGATGCTCTATCTCTATTGTAAGTGCACCAAGATCCTGGACCATTTGGACAATCTTCATGCCGTGGATTTTCCAAAGTACTTGAATAATGCTTAAGAATGGCATGTGTGGCTTTAGACATTGCTTCTGCACTGCCTTTGTTATCCTTAATTGCTTTACCATAAAAGCTCTGCAGTGAATTGATTCTTTCTATGGTGAGTCTGCCTTTGCCTCCAATGCCTAAGCCATCTTCCAATTTTTTACMTGAAATAATAACAACACCGTGTATCAAAAAAATGTGTCAATATAGTTTTACATACATCTCCATGCATTTATGCTCATTATCATTCTAACTATAATCAAATAGCTGGACTTATCATTTTCATTTATCAATATTATGATTGAATCATCTGGGTGGATGTAATTCAGTTGCGAGAATTACCTGCATATATTTTCTTTTACACCAGATTGAATAAGGCATAGTTTCCTAATAAATACAGACCAACAATACATGTTGTAATCATAGGTTTACTGTTTACCTTTGTATTCCTTCTGAAGCTTTCTGAGGGCAGTTCCCATCCTCTTTGTTACATGGGATATACAGTACTCTTTGGGGATATGGAAGGCTGGTCCATATGGCGCAATGCGGACAACTTCGCTGTAGGACTTGCTATCCCCATCACCCACAAGCGGAGTATATCTGATGTTGTGCTTTTCTATTGATCGCTTGAAGATTCGACCAACTCCTTCTGACTCCATGGTCTAAAAACAAAAAATTTACTTGTATTGGAATGTGGAATTTCAGTTTGTTTACTTTGTGACATATAATTCAACTATTTCAAAATAAGCAGAAGTAGACCCTTTGTTATTTCACAAATTTCATAAAAAATAAATAGAACACATAGAGGATGTTACATGGGCATGCGGAAATACTAATTTTATCTTCGAGTGTTCAATCGATATCAATTTCCAATTGGCCATGAAATGTTCTATTTATTATATACATATCAATCTATTGATCTTTATATAAAGATTGATCTAATTGGCCGAAAAAATGCAGTGTCACCATGCCAACAATGATATCTTCACATGTGAAAGATATGATATCTTTTCATGGTTCAAAATATAGCATTTTCACAACTAGAGAAAACCTGGTATCTCATCGATATGTATATAATAAATATCATTACATTATCTTTTACAAAAGAAAAACAAATATTATAACAAACCTGTGAGCTCCCTTCATGATTATAATGACATGAGTCTTCATGCTTTATACACCATTCATTATACTGCAGTCTGGTTATTTTGCCATCTTCCATTTGTTTCTTTTTTTTATCGCACAGAGTACATGTGTTGGTTAAGTACTCGACGTCCAGAASCTTTCCTGTGTCAATTGAAATAACGGTGACCAGTCCATCCCTCGCAGTCCAACCCCTGCTACTCCAGGAACCATCAACCGATACTCCTCCATTGACAATTTCCCCTAAATCACAAGTTCACGGGCTGCTTTTTCTAGATCTTCGTCAAGCAACTCGAATGCACATTCTTCAATGGTTTTCGTATGATTACCCCAGTGTTTTCGATCTATCGGAGGATGTAGATTCAAAATGTAAAACAGTTTATTCGCGGCTGAACATCCTCGTCCTATCATGCGAAGCCCCAACACAAGAGATCTGTTGATATCAAAAAAACGCTGTCGTGGGCAAAGAGCTCGTTGCACCACATTCACTATTTTGGCAGGAAATTGTCCACTGGCTACCCAAGCAAAGCGTTGGCCCTTCTACAATCTCAATGCTTCCCTTTTTACATGTGGAACAGATGGCACTCTGTTGTAGCTGGCAACTGAGTTGAGATCGATCRACAACATCCCAGTGACCCTCAAATGATTCTTCCTCTTCACTATCCATATCTGAATCAGATGTTGATTCACATGAATCTGTATCATCATTCGACAATAGTTTCTTTCTACTAGCTCCCGCCTGTTCCTCTGACTCAGTCGATGTTGTTGGTTGATAAAACCAAGAACCTTTGTCACTTTCAGCGAGCACTTTCATTTGCTCCTTCTTAAATAATAAATCTGTCTTTGGCTTCTTTCGGGATTTACGAGGAAGCCAAACACTTCCTCTCTGTCATTTCGACATTTAAACTCAATGAAGACTATTTGAAGGATCTATTTGAAGCACTCTTTTGGTTTGTTTACGCGATTTTTAMACTATGAAAACTCAGATGAAAGATGTTATCTTTACAAACTACCTCCAGTCATGCGCACTAAAAGCTCGTAAATATCCCGGATGTATATTTTGMCGCGAAATACTCAACAGGAGCCGTCACGCAATCTAGGGATTRCGACACCTTTGAAGTATTATTTATTTTTCGATAAAATRCGTTTCCCTAAATATCTCGCGAACGAAAAAACTTTTCCAAAATATTTTTTTGGAATCAGAAAGATTCCCTTTCATGTAAAGCAATCTGTTAATTAAAAAAAACGTCACAATTGACGCCGCGAAGGGCCACAGTAACCTTAAATCGATCATCAGATGAAGGCCTTGATGTAAAGGACTTGATTTCCATATACGACGACAAGGAAGAAATGAGGTTTTTCTTTCCAATTTATAAGGAAAGAAGGTGCTTTAAGGACAGTAAGAGGTCGTGCCTTGTGTTAACAGCAGGATATTGGCAATTGGCGGGAAATCGAAGACCAAGCCCGCACTACTTTGTTCAGCGGCGCTTGCTATCAATCAYGCGCWCATGACAAGGCACAATTTTATCAACCGTTAGAGCAGTTTTAGTGAAGTTGAAGTTTTTATAATCACAGGAATTCCATGGAATATCACAATTTTTCCTTTGTAGATTCTAACCATTACTTGTCATGTTTAATSGTTTTTAATTGTGATTATTATTCCTTCTTTTTCAGCCATCAGGGACGCCAAGAGAAGCCACTACTCTCGCAGAATCTTTCCGGACACCAACTCATCGTCCAAATTCGAATGATAAAGCTAGTACACCTTCGACTGTGAGATCAACTCCCAGTTTGGATAGCAGTAATGTGAGCATGTGTTTGTTGTTGAGTTGAATGAGTTTTARCGAAAATGTTCAAGCTAACTTATTCTTTTCAATCTAGGATGATGCAGATACCAGTATCGAGTCTGACAGCGAAGCGTCTGCAATGGAAGTAGAAAATATCAAAACTCCGAAGASTACAAGCACCGGAACTAAACCCAAGGTATTCCTGAAAGTRTATTAGCAGCATATATAATTGCAATCGATCTCGTAATTAGTTTGGTACGATTTTTTAAGCTTTATAACACCAAAACGAATATATTTTTTCATTGAAGTTCTTTTTGTAACTGAGGTGTACACATGATGTGTGCGAGGCTTCAGGTCTCGGTATCGCATCTGGGCTTCAGTGTTTAAATGTTTACTTGACTGAATTTGTGATTGAGGTGTGTTGCAGCTTAGATTACAAGAGATGTATGACAACTTTGCATTTTTGATGACAACATAAATTCACTTATTAAATTCTTTCTGTAGAAAGTTATTTCATWTGGTGAGGCAAAAAGCTTTAAATAGGAAATTTAAACAAGATATTAGATTGAAAACTATTTCTCATATGTCACAGGCCTGTTCAACATTAGAGACCAAAAATGTAGCATACAGAGAGCATTAGATGCAACTGTTGTTCAAATGAAAACCGTACACAAGAAATATGAAATGCTTAAAAACAAACTCAGTTATCAATCAGAAAATAATATCAAATCTACACTTCTGAAATCCATTAGAACTGATCAACTGTCTTATGTTAAATATAACTTTGGTAATGATATTATTTTAGGAAAAGGAAGGTTCGGGATGTGCAAATTAAGAGTGAATGTCTGTAATGATCSAACAAATGTTGGCACAGGTCGAAAAATCGATACTCATATTGTGTAGTTTGGTAGAGGAATGTATCCTAAGAATCCCAATATATTTGGTTTGCTCGAATTTTGCTTTAAAACCGAGAAATACCCCGAAATGCTAATTTWGGCTGTGAATTTTAACGGAAGTTTTGAAAGCTAGAAATAATTACTGAATAAAGCAACGAGCAAATCGCTTTAAGCCTTTGTAACACTATACTTTGTCAGTGCATTGCGYGAGTTTCAACGTAATGTSAGGATTATAACATATTTTAAGAAATATTTTCGTTAGAGATATTTTTCGAGTCGAAAAAAGTATGCTTTACAAACAATCCGACTGCGAATTTGCTAAACCTTTAAATGAATCAAAACTTGGTTATTTTGAAGAAGTAACAATGTGCTTTAAGGAACACTAAACAAATCTTTGGGCATTTGTTCAGTAGTGAMGCTGCAAGCTCTCAAACTTGACCTAAATTTGACCTTTCACGGAAGCTTCGAGAAACAGTCAAACAGTTATCAAAAATATTGCTATTATATGTTTATTATCACGCTATAATTTTTGATCCTACTGAAATACATACCTTAAGACTCAACAAGAGTGAAAACTGTATGATTTCCCGTTGTATAAAGCTTTGGATGAGTGCTTGTTTACCTGGAAATTGTCACTGCATGCGTAATTAGACACAGGCACGCCATCACCTCTTCTCTCTTACAAGCTAAACAATTCTTCCATATGGAATATAAACACTATAAAAACATTTTAAAAATTTATAACAATTGAAAATGATTTCAATAACAATTTATAACAATTGAAAATGATTTCGATAACACTATTTAAGCTTATTTTGATTAGTAGATAGTTGTTGTTAGCAATAAGATGATAGCGGTGATACGCTCAGTTTACACCCAGTCTCATATTACATATATACCCAAGGAACGGAAGTATTGGCTATCATTTACAAGATTCTCATCAATGGAGGTTTACTGTTCTTTCAAATCTATTGCTGGCAGTACTTGTAGCATAGATTATCGTGATAACTCTAACTCCGTAGTTCAAGTTGTGTCATTACTCTCCTCTGTAAGGGATATTTCAAATCATAAATCTTCACTAGCTTTTAAAGGTCCAGAACATGAGGTCGACCTAATTTTGTGTCGCGCTGCTAAGTTCAGCATGCCAGAAAATGTCAGCTCAATGACGATATGCCCCCTCCATCGAGCTAGGCTTGGGACTGGTTGAACGCRAGGTTCAAGTACAAGATGCAGGATACCACCTCCTGTATCTAACCATGGAAAATCTAGAAAATCCTGGCCAAAAGGTGATAGAGGASTAGATAAAGACGAAAGCGAAGCGCTGCTAAAAACTGGGATTTTTAGTTTTATATAAATATTTTTTTTTTAGAATTTGTGGTTACGTGCGCAAATCGAATTTAAAGTACCAATACCCGCGAACATCACTAACTAATAAAAAAGATATGAATTAAAATATTATTTGTGACAAATACGATGAAGAAGAAATCACGTTCAAAACACCAAAGCAGTTGCCTTGTGTACAGACACCTCATAGTGAATCAAGTCTTTTTAGTCCTTCAGCTATTTCTCAGTGTTCGGATAGATTCATTGTGGAGGAGCACAATCCAACTACAAGAGAAAAACTCAACGAGTTTCTTGCAGCTAGAGACGTAAGCCCAATCASACGAGTGATGACTACACCATGGTCAGAAGCTGCCGAAAGGACGAAGCGCTTTCACGTGCGCAAGGCAAAACAAGTAGTGCAGGCAACACTGGCCGAAATTGCTCCAGAAAATCCAAACGAGCTGTTGAGCGAAATACATAAAGCTAGTAGAGAAAGTGATGAGATGGACACAACTTTATTGGAAGCTTTGGTTGAGTGTTACAGTAATACGACCCACTGGACCTCCCAAAGACAGATTCTATCCATCATTGCTGACGATGTGAGCTTCTCAACCCTACAAAAATGGATCCCTGGCATCAGTCGTCACAGATTCAACATCGCAACATCATYGCATCTTCATGAAGAGGAGCTGAAGTTAAAGAAGAAAGAAAAGTACGAAAAGAACGAGGGTATYGCAAGACAGGCTAGATCATTTCCTAGCATTCATTACTAATTACTAATTATTCAGGACATGCCATTTGGGTCAAAAACGTTAAAACGGTCCTCTGGAACTGAGATCGCAATGCCCAATGTTGTACGTTCAACTATTCCACCTCACATTGTTAAGCAATACTACAGCTATTGCAGTGACACTGGCATCCAATCTCGACTAAGCCGAAGTAGCCTATACCGAATTTTGAATGTCTGCGCAGCATCTACGCGTACTTCTCTTCAAGGGCTAGATTACTTCACCTCTGATGGCGCCAAGGCCTTTGACGATCTAATTGAAGTGGTACAAAAGCTTGGTGACTGTACGGAAGGTGGTCTGACATGGTCAAAAGAAATTAGAAAGAAACTCAGGTTATCTAAGCGTTACATGAAAGTTGATTACAAAGTAAGTTAAAACAAAAGTAAGTAAGAAGTATATCATTAAAGATACAATTGCTGAATGTTTCTTTTTGTTTTCAAGGTTCATGTTTCCGCAAKCTCAACAATACCAGACCATTGCAGGAAGTATGCTCTAAGCCATGCTGGTGAACCTGATCACTTGGAAASTTGCGACCACGARCACAACCAACATTGTGACCGCTGTGATATCTTTCCAGCTGTACTTAATTTAAAGAAATACTATCCGTTGTCGAAAAAGCTAGTCTTCCCTCCAGAGGATTCAGAAGAGATAATATTCATCATTGCCCAATCCAAGAAAAACATTGAGGCTTGGTAAGCACATATATTACGCTCCGTGAATCAGGATGAAGCTCGCACAGACGTGCAGAATAGCCTAGGCAGTAATTCTGTTTTTGTAGTTCTCGATTGTGCCATGAAATTTGCGCCACGAAAATTCCGCGAAAGTCAAGCTGACTGGTTTGGAAAGCGCGGGATTTCATGGCACATCACTGTTGCCATCCGCCAAACACCGAACACCGGCCTGCAGATGTTAACGCTAGTCCACCTCTTCCAAAAGAGCAACCAAGATAGCAACTGCRTGCTTGCTATTATTGATRACGTCATGCACCAACTAAAAGAAGTGATGCCTCAGCTCAATTGT